GCCCCCCGGCCCGCGGGCCGGCCGCGTCCCCCTTCGCCCCCGCTGGGAAGCAGCGGAGGTGGCGGCGCGAGCGGGTGCAGGCAGGGGGGAACCCGCGCGGCCCGGCCGTCACCCCCCGCCGCAGTCACGTCCCGCAGCTCCCAGCAGCTCCGTCCTGTAGCTCCCGTGTCCCCCGCTTCTTGCGCACGTGTGTGACTCTGCCAGGCTGACTCTGGAGACTCGCAGGGGCACGTTTAGCACCTCCAGCGTTTTAGAAGGGAATAGGACTTCTGTGCACGTGGGAAGTTTGGTTTCTAAGCTGTATTTCTTTAAGCAATGATATAGCCACCTTTTTCCTCCGTGCATTTCCCCTGTGGTGTCCCTGGAGAATCTGGAGCACCCTTCGGAGGTGGCGCAGAGCCGAGGCAGTGCCATGGGCTGCTGCGGGCCGGGCCCGTTCGAGACGCTCTTTCCTCGCTGGTGCTCACGTGGCCTCCGGGGTTTCAGCTCGGTGGGCTTAGACCTGGTTTTCCCTTGTATCTGCCCAGCTTTTTCAGTCCCTCTCTTTCAGGACCTCACTGAACTGTTAAGTCCATATTATTGGTTACCCCCCAAAGGCTCAAGGGACAGATCTCTATCTCCAAACCTCTGTTTGTGTTCCCCGTAACGTCCTCGTGCCAGGAGCAGCCCTGAGGGCTGGGAGCCGCGGGGTCCGGCGCGGGCAGCGAGGGGACCCCCGTCCCGTCTCCCACCCTTGTGCTGAGGGCAGAGCCGGGACCAGGAGCCGTTTCCTCGGGACTGCTGGGGACGGGCACGGGCTCGGGTGCTCCCCCATGGGTCGGGGCACAGGAGGGAATGTCTCTGTGTCACCTTGGCACTGGGGTGCGGGTGTCACCCTGAGCACCGGGGTCCCTGCCGGGCCCGCCGCAGGGGGCACGTGGCGGGTGCGTGCGGGGGCATTGGTGTCTGTCACTGCTCCCACTCGCGCTTGCGAAACGAGAGCCTCTTGTTGCGGGTGGTTTTGCTCTCTGCTCCCTGTGACATGCTGCTGGCTCCCACTTCCCAATTCCTGGGGACACGTGGGCACTGAGGTCACCTCTGTCCCGTGCATCGATTTACAAGAAGGCGACGAGTTCCCCGAGCTGTGAAACCAGCGTCGCCCTGTGCTGCTGGTCCCTGCCCCTGCACCCTGGCCCTCGGGGAGCGGCCGCTGGGCAGTCCGAGCTAACCCCATCCGGCGTCGCCGGCCGCGGGGGCTCCCCTCGGATAGAGGGGAAGGGGCCGGGGGCACCGGCCACCCCTCGCCGTGGCGGAGAGGTCCGGCCTCAGCAGCCCTCGGAGACCGGGAGGAGAGTGGCCTGACAGGGCTTCTCTGGTGGCTTGTATGGCTTAATGCCCAGCACAGGCTGGAACCGGTGAGTGCTCCTGTGGGTTCCCTCTGAGGGCTGTCTGGGTGTCCCCTACGGGCCGTCCTGCACTGAGGACCTTCTCAAGCGAGGGAGCAGTGCTGGCTGTTCTGCCGTCCTGGCAGCCCTGCCTGCGCTCAGGGCTCTGCCCCTCTGCCCAGTGCGGCCCAGTCGCGCAGAGCCTGTGCGGTATCCACAGCCGGGATAGCACAAACACGGCGGGGGGATTATGGAGGTGGTCTTGGGAAACACGGCTAAAACCAACCCAACCCGCTTCATCTGCCGGTGGATGCTGGGAGATACTGGATACTGCTGGGAGGCACGGGAAGGCCGGGATGGGCAGGGTGGCTGGTGATGCTGCAGCCCTGCTCTGTGCCCCGGGCTCAGGCCGTGCTGGGCTCCGTGGGGAAGCTCCATGAGCCGCCGTCAGCTGTGCTCCGGAGGCGGCGGAGCCGAGCGCTCGGGTGTGCCCGCTGCATCTGTGCGCGGCTCCTCCCAGATGCAATCTGGATGTGATCATTTCCGTCACGGCTAAAATAGAGATCTCTAAGATAGTAGGTTGCTGCAAGCTGTGGAAATAGCTTGCTGGCGAGGTGAGCATGAGAGCCTCCCGCACGGCGCCGCACGAGACGAGCCCTTATAGACAGCGGAGAAGCCACAGAGCGCGGCCGAGCCGGGGGAGGCCGGCAGGGACCGTCCCCATGGCCAGTGCTGCCCCTCGCACCCCATGGCCAGCACGTTGCCCCTGAGCCGCGCAGAGTGATGGGGTGGCTCGCGACCGGGCGGGCAGCGTCCCGCGCAGGAGCATCCCGCACAGGAGCGTCCCGCGCAGGAGGGTCGCACACAGGTGGGTCTCGCTCTGGCTGCGGTGCTCGCGGGTCTCACGGGTACATGGGGACATGGGGCAGAGCCCCTGCAAGGGCTGCGGTGACGGCGGCAGCGCTGTGCGCAGGCTCCCACTCCCGTTGCCCTTCCGCATGGCAGTGACGGGAATGCTGCCTTCAGCTGGGAAGGGCCGGGGCATTAATGGGATATTTTCTGCCTGTTCTTATCGACGCTCGGAAAGATCGTTTCCTGGATTTCCTTGGGAAAGCGCTGCAGCGGGAAGGGCGGTGGAAGGGAGGAAGCCGGCTCTTGACCTGGCCCTGCATGGGGATGCGTGGGGACGTTCTCGGTGCCAGCTCCGGGGCTGGAGGAGAGCGGGGGGCGAAGGGGGGGCTCTGCCCATGGTCCCTGTGCCCAGGGCGATGGGAGCTCCGGTCCCGGGGAGCCGGACAGGAGAAGGGGACGTGCCGGCCACCCGCCACCCCTGGCCGCCGTGGAGGGGAAGGAAGGGGCGTTCGCTGACTTCACGTTTCCATCGGCGCCGCCGTGTGAAGCCGAGTTCCCTGCGCTCCCAGGCGCACAGTGGGAGTGCACGCTGCTCCGTGCCGCAGCGTTACGTGCCATCCCGCAGCGCTCCGCACCGTGCTGCTCCGCGCCGTGCTGCTCCGCGCCATCCCACAGTGCTGCATCCCGCAGCGCTCCGCGCCGTGCTGCTCCACGCCGTGCTGCTCTGTGCCATCCTGCAGTGCTGCATCCCGCAGCGCTCTGCGCCGTGCTGCTCCGTGCCGTGCTGCTC